TAAAAAATTTCAATTAGAAATCCATAAATAAAATCTTTTAATATTATTTTTCATTCTAACTTTTCTTTTTAACTACATAAACAATATTAATAGAGGAACTAAAGAAGAAGATAAGGACTCATATATGCAAAGAGGCCACATAGTCCACCAATAGCAAACAACCAAAAAAAAAATAAATTAAAACTCTAGTCATTTAAAAAATTACAATTGTCTTTAACCCTTTTTCCACACATTATTGTGGACTCCCTGTTACCTAATGCCAAAAACATTGGATTTGGAAAAAGAATTCTTGCAATGAAAGTTATCAAAGTAACTTGTTCACAATAAATTTAAAAAATATAAGAAAAAAAAATCTTAAGATTTTATTGTAATTTTAAAAGTACAAGATATATAAAGAATAGTCTTATACCACTCAAGGAATCACTCCTATATTAAAATTTCACCAATTAAAAATTGAATTTATCACAACAACCTACCTTATAGAATTACAATCATATCTTAAATAGTTTTACAAATAATAGTTACTTAATAACTAACAAATCCTAAATACTAAAAAAAAACTAATTATACAAAAACAACAATAGTTAATATTAACTACTATTACCACTTGGATAATTGACATCATTTATTGGAAATCAACTACTTCTTGAACATACATTGCTCAAAATATATCGATCTATTAGAACTTGCATTAACACAATCCTTAGCTTTAGTACCATCTTTCTATTTGTTAAACTCAATCTTTTTCTTTCCTTTGACTTTCTTCCTGATGTCCTATCTTGATTCTTAGAACTTGCATCATTACCCTTCTCTTCTTTGATCTCATAGAATAAACCCCTCATTGACCGATCTATCTCTCTATGACCAACCCTATTATGGTTAACAAACTGTAGTCTTTTCTACGCCAAAATAGATCGTTCATGGCACCACATAACAACCCTGCTGACCAACCTTCCCTTCAAATAGCAGCCTCAAATTTTCAATATTAATTCCATAAATCTATATAAAATCCAAAACATCCTCGAGTTTTAATTAACCTAAAATCCAAGCAAAAACTAATATAAAATCAACCCAAAATTGAAGCTTTTCCTTAAAATAAATAAATTATACTACCAAATTTAGTACAAATTACATATCATTTTAGATTTGAAAATTATATTGCCAAATTTTTATTTGTAGTCAATATGACTTTTCCCTAGTTTATACTTTTTATGCCTTATAGGTATTGGATTAGCCTTTTAAAATTTGTTCATTGGGATAGTGAGAGACTTTTGTTATGACCAATAGGTTAGTTAACCTACCCATATTTAATGACTAGAACCATTATTTTGTTGTCTCCATATATACTAGTAAACCTACCCATGTTTAATGGCTAGAACCATTATTTTGATGTCTGTATATATACCATTAGGCAAGCCTGATGCCATGCTTTTCAAAGATAGGTGACAAGACAATCAAGATTGTGAAAGATACTCAAGAACAACCTAATGAGATTCTAAAACTAAAAATAGAAAGGTAATATTTAAATAGAAGATTTCAATGTGAACTATTTTATTTGAAGCATTTGCATCCTATTGTCAATAAAGTTATAAATTCATAAATAAAGCAAGCAAAAATGACATCACAATAAGTTTGGTCATTACAAGCTTCCAAGATAAAATGTCATGATAGTCGAGTATGTTAATTTTTTTTATTTGTAATTTACTTCTCAAAAGTTGGTTCATTAGCATTAAAAGGAAATGAGATTTAGTTGTGATAAATTAATTATGATTATTAGAAACCCTAACTATTTTTTATAGTTTTAAGATAAAACATTTGTAATGTTAGAAGAAAGATATTATTACCGTAAAGTATTTTACTTAAGATAAGTTGTATTTCTACATCTCTTTTATTTCTAATGGAATGTCATGCCTAATACTATTGGTCTATCTATATAGATAAAGATGAGTCTATTGTAATTAGTTAAGCCTTGAGAGGACACATAAGTTGAATCCTAATCATTTTAAAGTCCCTATCATATATGTCACTCTTAATTGCTTGGTGAATTGACATATCTATAAATTATTTACTCTAATTATAACTTATGACTATTAATGGTCTATCATACCATGTCAATAAATAATCATATGGGTCTTTAGTTGGCTCATTGAACCCAACCCAAATCCCATGAGGATTTGTCGCTATCTATTTTATATATGCAATAGTGGCCCGTGAAAAATGACTTGTTTAGGATGATTTAACCTATATTATTAAAGTTTACTCACAACTTATTTTAAACGAGGTTTCTCTGTAAAACTAAATAAAATTCTAACTCAAGCGACAATAAGTGAAATTGTTTCTAATTTATAAATAAAATATAGGTTAGATTTAAAAAATATGTTAATTAACATGGAAGGGTAATATTGAATGAAAGAAAATTTTTATTGAATAAAGTATGTAAAAAGAAAAAATCTAGAGGGCCAAAAAGGAAATATGGAATAGTGGGGGGGTAAATATGCAAATCATAAGAAATTGGATATATAACTACCCAATTTCTTCTCTTATAGTCAGTGGTTCTTCATGCTTAAAGGGAAGGATTTGCTCTTTTTTTTCTTCTATTCATTTTCTACTAAATTACATAAAAAGAAAGCTGTAATTAAGGTATAATTAGGAATAAAAAAAGTGTTTAAAGGTTTGTAGGGTTATTTTGAAGAGAAACATTAAAAGTTAAGGTTTAAGAAGGAAGAGAAAAGAACTTGAAATTTTCTTGCATTCTATCCTTGAAACATTATTCAATTGGAGTAATGGACCTATCTAATATGATTAATTGCTTTGATGAAGAAATACAATTGTTAATATTATATGAAATTGGGGATTTATGATGTGAATTGTTGTAATGATTGAATGATGTTTATAAGCATAAAATAAGATTGGGTAATTGGCTAATTTCAAAAAAATGGAAGAAACAAATCCTTAATCCTTAACGAACATATATGACCAATAGGAAGAAATTAGGAAAAAATGGAGAATTAAAAAAAATTAAAATTGTGTTAAATGGCATGTATATAAATGTAAATGGAAGGAAAGAATGAGATTTTTCTTTAAAAAAAAAAAAAACAAAGAAAGAAAGAGAAACCTTCCATACACTCTCCAATGATTTCGGCCAAGACAACCAAAAAGAGAAGGGTTTGGGTTTTGACCTTGTCAACGTGGAGAAATATGTTCACTTGAATTGGTTGACTTGTTCTAGAATTAAAAAAAAAAAAACATAAAGAATCAAAAAGGAAATCTAACTAATTTTACAAACAAGAAATTTGGCTAAGCATATGTTTGAATATTATGTTTGTTTAAATTAAAAGGTACATAAATCATATTGAGTTGTGTTGATTTGTAAAAAGAAATTTGAATAAAAAAAGAAAACAACTATGGACAATATAAATAACAAGAACGAGGACGTGTTAATGCAAATAAGTAAGAAATTGAAATTTATATGGAAGATGAAGTCGATCCTTATAATAAATGAATGATTAGTGATTTATTATTTTTGTTGGTATAGGAGCAGCGAACCATATCACGTGCACATGTGTTAGATAAATGCTCCACACATTCTAGAAATTTATGAGTGATTTGATCAATAGTTACATGTTTCTTTAATTATATTATAATTAAATCTAAAGGATATGAATGGTGAATTATAAAAACTAATCTATGGTTAATGAGATTAGTGTACTGAGCAAATTGAGAAAACTAATCCCTATCTAAAGAGATTAGTGTTTTGCTTACTTGGCAAAGTAAAGACCTACTGGGCGGATTAAAAATACTGATTTGGCCAAGTGGTAAGAACTTAGGATCAAGGGGTTTGCTCCCTCTGTGGTCTCAGATTCGAGTTCTTGGTTGCTCATATGATGGCCACTGGAGGCTTACATGGTCGTTAACTTCAGGGCCCGTGGGATTAGTCATGGTGCGCGCAAGCTGGCCCAGACACCCACGTTAATCTAAAAAAAATACTGATTTCTTGGATAATGGGATTTGTGACCTAAATATGGGTTTAAAGTCTCTTGAATTGGCAACCGAAGAAACTAAATCCTTGAATGATGGGTTTACTGCTTGAAGTGTTGGACAATTTAAAGAATTTAAATAATTTAGTTATAAAATAAATGCTGGAATGAACTAATAATAATGGATATCAACATGCCTAAAGTTTTTGTTATGAATAGTATTGGATGATGAAGAAAAAAGATTATATGAATACTTGAGTATATACAAGTGTAGTTTTTTCCTTGGTAATCAACACTTATAGGATCGCTGCATTGTAGGACCAATTGCTCCCAGGGTGGCTGGGCTGCTAAAAAATAAATGTTTTCTTCTCTGCTGGAACTAATTGAGTAGTTTTTCTCTTTTAATCCAGAATTTAAGAACATTCTTATGAGCCGTGATTAGGCTTTTTGTGTTCAAACCATGCAGGTTCAACCATGGATCTCAAGAAAAAAAAGGGTTTAAGCTAAAGCATCCCCTGAACAAACGATTTCCATCTTGAACATTTACACAGGATGCTTGTCCATGAAAATAATGTTGCACGAACATTCAGATACTCAGATCCATAGAGTGGCGCGGCTAGCAGATCTAATAATAAACGACACCATTTTTTACGCTGAAGGTACCAAGAGTGGTGCGATTGTTAAAACCAAGTTACAATCATACTTGTCAAAATAGCATATGTAATTTCATTCACACCAAGCAACCATATCTATACATATTACATAATATTTTGGTAGTGGTCCATGTCTTTTGGTATTTTTATTACCACTAACCATACATAGATATGAGATTTCAAAAAAAGAAAAAAACCTAGGATCACAAAAAGGTTTACATACTCTAATTTCATGTGCACATCTACAGCATTCAATTGCTGCCCGCACTAATTGTCTAGCCAGCTAATCATAATCCTTTACTTAAGTGGTTACTTTTTTTTCTCATGGGTCTTATTGTTTATATGGGTAGCATATACTTTACACGAGGAATGAGCATAATTGTATGAATCATTATAGAAGGCAATTCTCCAAGCTTATGGGTCTTTACGATGCGGTTCTAGCATATAGGGATCTTTGCAATGTAGTTCTCCAAATATATGGTCTTTATAATGTAGTTATTCAAGTATATACAGATCATAGCATGGCAGAAGCTGAGTCAACTAGGTCGCTTGTGTAACCTTCCCGAGCCATTGAAGAGAATCATTTACTAGATAAACACTGTCTGGTAACAAATCCAATGAGACACCAACAAATGATTCTCTTCAATGGCTCAGTCAGATTACACAAGTGACCTGATTGACTCAACATTTGACTCTTTTTTCATGCCATGATCTGCATATGTATGGATAACTACATTGCAAAAACCATATGCTTGCAAAACTACATTGGATAAGCCCCCATATGCTTGCAGAACTGCATTATACAACAATTCACTGCATTATACAACAATTCATGCAATTATAACAATTCCTCACATAAGCCCATATAAACAACAAACAAGACTAATAAGAAAAAAATGACCACCCAATTGCTAGGTCAAGGACTATGATTAGAATAACAAGGGCAAGAATTATAGACAAGTGGTGTGGGCAGCAATTGATTTGAAGTGAGCAGCTTCAAGCTTAACTTCACATGCACTCCATGCAACATGAACGAGCACAGTAACAAAGAATATGGTTATGATAGCATCGGGTGTTCTAAACGGAGAGAGTTCCATATGTCAACTGGATAAAAGGTAGCCAGCGCCGCAACGAGAGAGAGAGGAATCTGGTATGTTTGTCCATTCCCCTATAAATGTTTGTCCATTCCCCTATAAAGTTAAAAAATGAACTGCTTTAGATCCAGAAACAAGTAATAAATCTAGAAAGTTAAACTAAAAGAATTATCAGCATGAAAACAATGACCAACTACTTGCAGTGTTTTTTTTCAGAGGGAACGGAAGGAAGGGGTGGGGTTCCCCTTCATCATACATGCCACATGACCTATAACAATCAAAAGCCCATAAACCAACTTAGTTGATTCAAAAAATGAAGGCCACTTATTCTGGTTTTGTCCCAAATGCCGCTGCAACTTAATGCTGTTGCAGAGCATTCATGAAGCATCTACCGTGCCATGGTAGTGCCAAACTCAGATACACATCTAACATCCCAAATGTAAAATTAGAGCATCATGTTTCAAGCAAAAGATCAAAAAATCATAGTAGAGATCCATCAACCAGAGGATCTGTGGCTTGCTAAAACTCATTGATCACAACACAGGAGGCAGAAAAGAGATGGGCTTGTGAAAGCGCCTATAGGTGATGGGTTGTTTAAGGATAAAATCGTTTACGCTTGTAAGTCTAAGAATTCCTGACCAAATTGCACCTATTTGTAGCCATTTCAAGATTTGATTTCAAGCTTCTCTTTTATATTTCTTTTTTCCTTCTCTTTCCGGACTGAATCCATTCTTGGATCAGTCTTTTCTCCAAACACTACACCTACCTCACCCGTTTACCTTACATATTCCATCAAACACTTGAATTCTATATTGTATTGCAAAATTTATATTCAGGGAAGCTTCCCATCTGAATAAATTTGAGGGATACCCATGGATTTATTTACTGTGGAAGGCTTGAGCCACATACAATTTATCACACTTACCCACTTATAAAAATGTAAAGAAGGAAACAGAGTGGATCTGGTTGATTGGTCTAATTCCTTCTCTCCTCTCCTAGATCTGCATGGTTCAACTAATGAACTTAATTCCTATCACTGTACCAGAAGTTTCATCATCCGTAACTTCTTACTCTAAACATTACCCAAATACCCCTGAATTCAACCCAAATTAATTAACAAATTCTAGATTCTTTTGAGCTCTACACCCTAAAACCTGGGAAAAAGACTAAGATCTACCCTTTTCACATGTATCTATACAAGAAATCTCAGCAAATCTCAACCAGAAAGAGACTAAAGACAAGAACCCATGAATAGCAAACAAATTCACCTAGCAATTGAGCTTCATGGCTCAAAATACAAACTCAAAAAGCAAAATACTTACTTGTGAGATTCTCGGAATACAGCAATCCTCTCTCACAATCTCTTTTCTGGAGCAAGGGAGAGAATGGGAGGACGAGATCTGTAATTTTGTTAATTCATAAAAAACAAAAAAAGGATGATAATGTTAGGAAAAAAGAAAACCAATAAAAAAAAAGTAAAGTTTGTCTTTGGTATTACGCCAGTATTTAGGATTATGATTTAAAAAAAAATATTTTATAAGAATATTTTTAATTGAACTTAATTTTAAAAAGTAGATGATTAATTAAAATTGTGATTAAAATTAATATTAAATTTTTTTTAATATATTTGATTAATAATATTTTTAAAATTGAGGTTATAAAATAATTTTAATATATAGATATATATTAATACTGATAATTTTAAAGTTAAATATTATAGAATTAACTACTTCTATTACATTATGAAATAAATAATATTTGATATAAATTATTTTTTATTATTTTTAAATTATTTATAATTTCATTATATAAAAAATTTAGCCGATAAAAATTATAATTTTTATAATTTTATGAGCGTATAATAAAATCAGATAAAATATTATCAGATATAAAATTAATATTACAGTACGAGTAAATTTAATTTACTCTATATTAGTTTTTTGAAAAAAAATATTATTCATATCACAATACAGATTAATTTAATTTATTTTAAACTAAATTTTTCAAAATAAAAACAGTTAAAAAAATTAACACATGAAAAAAAACTAAATTATACACATGAGCAGTGCAATTTACTATTAGAATAGTGTATCTATCACATGTTAAAACTCTCATGAAAAAACAGTATTTTACTACTTCTAAAAAATCATAATCCCGCCACATACCTACCACATATAAATGGTGGAACTCATCTGTTTTGATTGTTTAACCATTTGTAACCAAACAACTATTTCATCTGTTTTTAAAGAAATGCGAACGCTAACATGTAGTTAAACGGGCCATCCGACCAATAATATAACATTTTACCTACCTAACATTTTTTGTTTTTTTTGGGTGGAGTAAAACAATTTTAGAAAGGTTTTTTTAATTTAAAAATATATTAAAATAATTTTTAAAAAAACATTATGTAACATATTCTATAAATATTTTAAAAAAATTAATTCAAAATAAAAAATAAAATTTAATAAAAAAATCAATTTAACTTGGCTCCCAAAAAAACCCTAAAAAAGGTATTTAATAATGTTTCACTGGGAATGAACATTAAAGCAACTTTTTTTTCGACCTTTTCTTCTTTTAATTACAACCTTCAATTACTTAATTAAATTACTTAATTAAATGGAATTAAGGTTGCAATTATTGTAGAATTACTAAATTAAAAGAAGGGGAACTAAACTACAAAACACAAAAAATAATAAATTTGATCTAAGATTTAAAATTTATGCTAATATTTATTTTGATCTCCAAGGTTTTTTATTTGTTCTAAAAGAAAGTGAGACTTGTTGGAAAACAGAGGTAGAAAGAAAAGGTAGCTAGTTGTCATGATTCCAATAATAAAAACAATTAATTTTGATGTCCAGTTATTCCATTTCACTATGAGAGTTGGACGATTATGGCTATTCACTTTTAATTTGTTCGAAAAAATAGATCAGGCTTGGAAAGATTTAGGATCTTGGGTTGATTTTTCTTCTTTGATAGATTTTTGGCAACTTTAAAGGCACAAATGAGTTTATTGAGTAATATATATTGTTTTTCATACATTTTCAACTCAAAATTGATTTAAAAATACATTGTTTAGTCCAAAAAATAAAAGGCCATTTTCTACCCAGTTTTTGGCCAATTAGACAATCAAAACTATGCAAGCAAACAAATTGCTATTTATTTCAGCATATAACAGGCCGCGTGCTTTATATTTTTTTTAAAAAGATAATGGGTGAATAACCCTTTATTAATAATAATAATAATAATAAAAACAAGATCAGGTGTATGGGTTTAGCCTCCAAGTCCATGTGCACCTAACTTGCTATTAAAGGATCAGGCAAGCCTCACTTTTTTATTTTTATTTTTTTATTATTTGGTTTTGACTTGATTTGCTCCAAGTCCATGTGCACCTAACTTGCTATTAAAGGATCAGGCAAGCCTCACTTTTTTTCTTTTTAGTTTTTTTATTTGGTTTTGACATGATTTTTAAATAATATTATGAATTTTTATTTGAGTTTTAATAATTTTTTTCAATTATTATATATCTAATATGAAAATAATAATAACATTAATAATAAATTGTTCTTTAAAATTCAATTTAATTTTTTTCATTTTTTAAATTTCTAAATAGATTTTGAACATGATTCTAACACATTTATGATTTTTTTAACTTTCAATCACATGTAAAATATGGACAAAATATTTTGATTTTTTTTAAATTTGCTTTAGCAATCATAATTTTTTTTTTATCAAGAACAATGATAAACAAGAAACATGTTAATAAGAAAATTGATTTTAGACTTGATAAATATATGTTTTGTGATTATTTAAAATTATTCACTTAAAAAAAACACTATTATTCTGTAATTAGATTAAAAAAATTGAAAAGTCAAATGTAACATGAGATTAAATATCTTAATATACATCTTTATTTTAGATTCATGACTCAATCTTATATTTATATTAACAAATTTATTATTATTTATTAACACATATAATTTTTAATTTATTTTATTGAACACATGTATTAACCTTCTTTTGCAATGAAAATGAATATTGATGATTTTTTTTCTTTCAAAATGATTGTGTTTTTAGGTTTAATAACAAAATTAAATAATTCTTTAGGATCTTGATAGTTTTTTTAAAAAGAGTTTTAGCCCCTTCATTGCATAGCGCGAACATGCAAATTGGTAACATACTAAATAAAATGACCAATAAAATAACATAAATTATATATAACAACAAAATTAAATAGAACTCAATAATATAGGGGCTAGATTATTTTTTGTCATCTTTGTCCATAGCATGCGTGATTCGTATATCAAGTTTGGTGCCCCTTAAATAGACTTAATTGTTATATATTTAAAAGGTCTTAAAAGAAACAAAAGAAATTTTAGTAAATGAGACTTTTAAAATGTTTAAACATTATAAGAATGACATTGAAAATCAATTTAACAATAAAATAAAAGAAATAAAAAGTGATAAAGATTAGGAATACAACACCTTTTGATAATATTTTTTTAAATGATATTATTTACCAAAACCACTGTTCATTATTCACCACATTAAAATGATATTATTGGACATAAAAACCAAACACTTATAGAAATAATGCATGCTATGTTGATAAGTTATGGAGCCCTTCGAAACTTACATGGAAAAGCAGTTATAATTGCCAATTATATATTTAACAAGGTATCCCATAAAATGTTAAAAGAAAAACACCTTATGAATTGTGACAAAAAAAAGAAAAAGCTTTCTACATATAACTCAAAGTATGGGGGTGTCTTTTAAAGGTCTAGTACATAATCCTAAAAAGCTAAAGATAAGATTGAAAACTATAGATTGTGTTTTTATCGATTATGTGTAATAATAATGTATATCAATTTGTTGCACATAAGTCAAGTATAAAGAACATTCATCCTAATAATATAATGAAATTAAAGAATGCTACATACTTTGAAGATGTGTTTCCATTAAAAAAAACCTAAAAAAGTTATTCACTTATGAGAATGATAAATGTGTTAGTTCAAGTGGTCATATTCAACTAAAAGATGATGAAGTTAAGCATAGAATGAGTAAAAAAAAAAAATACTTGTTAGAAAATAAACCTCAGACGTACTACAAGGTAATGTCTTGTCCTAAAGTATACTAGTGGAATGAAGCCATCAATATTAAAATATAAAATATTATAAATAATCATACATGAAAAATAATAGATCTTTTACCTGAAAGTAAATTACCAGACCATAAATGAATCTTTAAAATAAAGATGCAAGATAATAAAACTATTAACAAATACAAAACAAGACTTGTTATTAAAGAATTCAAACAATAAAAAGGTGTGGAGTATTTTAATATATATTTTCTATGTCAAAAATAACTTCCATATGAATGCAAATAACCATTTTATCTCTTAATAATCTTGAAATACATCAAATTAATATAAAAACAATTTTGTTAAATGATGACCTTAAAAAAAATGTTTACATAAAATAACTTAAGTGGTTTGTTATTAATGGATAAGAAAAAAAATCTTGTAAGGTTGTCGCATCATCATGTAATTTGAAATAAGCATCCAAACAATAACATGAAAAATTTAATAAAGTTATTGTCAAATGAGTTCAAAAGCAATGAAGTTGATAAATGTGTTTATGTGAAAAAACATATGTCATGACCCAATTCTGGATTATTCCCTAAAAATTCACTTTTTCTCAAAATAAAAATAATAAAAATAAAATAATGGTTGGTAACTTGGAGAAAGCAGGCCGTAATTTTTGAAGGAAATTCAAGGTCTAATTATACCCTATTATGCTAAAAAACTGATAAAAAATACAAATTCAAGGTCAAATTAAATGATTATTGGATGAATTTGCATAAAAATTACGTCCAATGAAATAATTAAATTTTTAATAGGCCAATTTGATTTAATCATGGGCCAAATTAAATTTTAATTATGTTTAAGAATTAATTTGGATTCAATTGAAGGATTTAATTTAGTGGAAAGACTTAATTATACTTTAAATGGGTCAAATTAATTTTGTTCGGGGCTTAATTGGTGAAAACTTAAGTTTGAGAGCCTAATTTGGGCTTAATTGAGAAGATTGAAATTTTAAAAGACCAAATTTAATTTTTACCAAGTTAGTTGATTGTAATTAGGGATCAAATTGCAAGAAAATTGAAGTTTTGGGGTCAATCAGGGGTTAAATTGAAGAAATTCACATACAGGGACCAATTTGTAAAAGGTGTCGGACTACAGGGGGCCTAATTGATGAAAATCGGGGGTTAAATTGAAGAAATTAAAGTTTCATGGTTAATTAGGGGTTAAATTGCAACAATCCAAGACCAGGAACTAATGTGCAAAAGGCGGGTAAATCCAGGGTTCCAATTGAAATTCGACAAGGGTGTAATTGCATTAAATCAAAAGTTTGGGTCAATTAGGGGTACAATTGTATAAAATCAAAAGTTGA